GTAGCAGAAAGAAAAATGAATTTTTTAAAATGTGATTAGAATTCAAGGGGCATTTGGGACAAGAGGACCAACCTACACTTTATAGAAGTCTCAGAAGAAGAGGAGGAAGAGAAGGGACCAGAAAAAATATCTGAAGCAATCGTGGTCAAAACCTTCTCCAATCTGATATGAACTGCACACCTAAGAAGCTAAAGAATCGCCAACTAGGACAAACCCAAAAAAATCCACACAGAGAAAGATTATAATCAAGTTGCCAAAGAAAGAGAGAAATATAGAATCTTCAAAGCAGCAAGAAAGAAGCAAATCCTCACATAGAAGGGATCCCCGGTAAAATTTATAGAAGATTTCTCATCAAACATGATGGGGACCAGAAGGCAGTGGGATGACATATTTAAAGTTGTAAAAGAAATTTGTAAAAGAAAAAAAAGAGACAATAATTCTATAACTTGCACAATTTTCTAATGTAAAACAATTATATCCATATTATATATCTATATCTTGTTGAAGAATGAAAAATAAATTAATGCATGCACAGATAAGCTAAATATAAGAGGGTTTATTACTGGTAGACCTGCCCTATAAAGAATTTAGACTGAAACAAAAGGACACTAGACATCAACTTGAGTCTGTATAATTTTTTAAAAATGATAAGGTAATTACATATGTAAATGTAAATGGCAATATTACTAAACTTTAGGGTTGAAACTCCTCTTAATTTCCTATATGAATTTAAAGAAAAAGTACAAAATAATTATAAACTTATGTCAATGGGTATGTAATGTATAAAGATGTAGTCAGTGACAATAACGATATAAAGAGGTAGATGAAGATGTATAGAAGCAGAGTATTTGTATACTGCTGAAATAATGTTGATATAATTAAAACTAAGTTGTTATAAATGTAAGATCTTAATTGTAATCCCCAAGGTAACTACTACAAAATTAAAACACACATAAAAGAAAGGAGATAATCAAAGTGGTACATTACAAAAATATCAACTAGTTACAAAAATGAAATAATTGAAAAATTGAAAAAAAAATACGACAAACCTAAAACAAATGGATAAATGCTAAGTAACTCCTTTTTGATAAGTAATTAATAAAATGCATTAAATCTTCAATTAAAAGGCAAAGTTTAGTAGAACAATTTAATGAAATGATCTATCTGTATGTGCCACCTACAAGAAACTTACTTTAGATGCAAAGAAGCTGAAAGTAAAATAATATAAAAATAGCCCATGAAAACAGTCACCCAAAGAGCACTTGGATGTCTCTTAATGAGATGGACAGAAAACCGATAAGAAAATAGTGGACATGAATGATATAATAAACCAATTAAACGTACCAGATACATACACAAACTATTCCACCCAACACAGAAGACACATTTTTTATTCAACATACAACTGGAAGTTCTAGATAGGGAAAGAGTTACATAGAACATTCTCCAGCATATACCACAACTTAAACCATAAAACAAGCCTTAACAAATTGAAGGAGATTGAAATATTACAATGTGTTTTCCTTCTGAACACAAAAATATGTAACCAGAAATTCGTAACAAAAAAACTGGAAAACTCACAAATATATGAAAATTAAATGACAAACTTTTAAACAAATTGATCAAATAAAGCACAAGGGAAATTAGAAAATATTAGAAAATATCTCCAGAGAAATGAAAGTAAAAACATCACATACGAAGTCATATGTGTCATAGAAAATGCAGTACTTAGATATTTTAACTATAACCAACAAATTTAAAAAAGAAGAAAAATCTTAAATTTATAACCTAACTTTACATCTTAAAGAAAAGCAAGTCAAACCAAAATGGTTGTGTCTGTGTGTGTCTGTCTATTACAGTGACATATTATTCAGCTATAAAATGAGGGCATTATGCTAAATGAAATAAGCCAAACACAAAATACAAATACTGTATGATCTCACTTATACTTGGAATCATATATATATATATATAACTTATATATATATATATATAAAACTTATAACAGCGGAGAGTAGAATGGTGGTTGGTGGTTGCCAAGGGTGGGAAATGGGGGAAATAAAGAGATTGTGGTCAAAGGGTGCAAACTTTTACTTATGAGTAAGTTCTAGAATCTAAACTATAGCATGGTGACTATAGTAAAAAATAGTGTACTACTTACTTTACATTTGCTAAGGGAGTAGATCTTAAGTGTCCTCTCCAGTGCACACATGTGAATAGTAAAATAAATTCAGTAGATTGATATTTTAATTTTGTTGTAATAATTTTGCAATGTATATATATATGCAATCTACATGTTGTGCTTCTTGAATTTTTAACATTTTTTATCTCAATAAAGCTAAAAATACAGAAATAAAAATATATAATATTGTATGAGTAAAATTGTATGCAATAGTGAAAGGCTAACTGCTTGTCCCCTAAGATTGGGAACACATCCATTATTAAACATTATACTAGAGGCTGGGTGTGGTGGCTCAAGATTAATCCCAGCATTTTTGGGATGCTGAGGTGGGTGGTTCACTTGAGGTCAGGAGTTCGAGACCAGCCTGGCCAACATGGTAAAAACCCTGTCTCTACCAAAAATACACAAATGAGCTGTGCATGCTGGCAGGTGCCCGTAATCCCGGCTGCTCAGGAGGCTGAGGCAGGATAATTGCTTGAACCCAGGAGGCAGAGGTTGCAGTGAGCTGAGATCATGCCACTGCACTCCACCCTGGGGGACAAGAGCAAAACTCTGTCTCAAAACAAACAAACTATATATATATATATATATATGCTGGAGGTTCTAGTCAGACTATCAAGGCAAGAAAATTCAATACATTCACAAAGATTAGAAAGAAAAAAATGCAGAAGAAAAAATTAGTATGAAATATGGAAAATGACAATCTGTCAAACAGATCATTGGTGTTCACGAAGTAGGAACGAAACAAATAGGACAAAAATATTCATGCAATTACTTTTAAAGATTAAGTTGTTTAATAACTAAATTTGTTAATCACAGGGCATATCATATTCACAGTACAAGTTTTAAAAAGTATTAAAACCTTTGGATAATAAAAACATCAGTAAGAGAATGAAATAACTTATTTAAAAGATGAGACAATGTACTGTGAAGTATGTATCTTGTAAGAGATTTATATCAAGACTTAAAAACCTTCCACAACAAAAAGACAAAACAACCCAATTAAAAGCAGGCAAAGGATTTGAATAGACATTTTGCTACAGATATGCAAATGGCCAATGAGTACAACATGAAAGTTGTTCAAAAACCATTAGTTATTAGGCCATTGCAAATCAAAATCACAATGACGTCATGTTATACCTACTAGTATCACTATAGTTAGAAAATGGAGAACAAGAGTTGACGAGTAACTGGGAAATTTGGAGAATCATACTTTGTTGGTCCGCATGTAAAATGATGCAGCTGCTGTGAAAAACAGTTTGGTGATACCTTAAAATGTTGAATGCAAAACATGAACTCAGATAAATGCACACTAGTGTTTATAGCAGCATTATTCACAATAACCAAAAGGAGGAAATAACCCACATGTGTCTATCAGCAGACGAATGGATAAACAAAATGTGGTGTGTATGCATACTGTGGAATATAATTGAGCCATAAAGAATGAAGTTCTGATACATGTCACTATATGGATAAAGCTTTTAAACATTATGCAAAGTGAAATTAGCCAGACACAAAAGAGTCAATGTTGTATGATTCCTCTTAAATATTTAGAACAGGGAGATTCATAGAGACAAGATTTAGTTTAGAGTTTACTGGGGGATGGATTAGGATTAAAAAATGGGGAGTTGTTACTAAATGACAGAGTTTCTGTTTGGAGTGCTGAAAATTTTTGAAAACTGGCGATTGTTGCACAAAACTGTAAATACAATTATGCCACTGAATTTTATACTTAAGAGGTTAAAATGGCAAATTTTATATTATATATTTTACCATAATAAAACTATTTAAAACGTGAATTATAAATTAATTTTTATAACTATGTTTGTGAAATTTTTTTACAATCTGCTTTTTGTTGTATGTTCTACATTTTTTCCATGTACTAAGTATTGTGGGAAATTCCATCCTCATACTCATGCTGCTTTTCTACTTGTTAATATTGGATACTTCTTGATAGGCTCTTAAAATTGTGCTGTAACCTGGAAGAAACCTTCCTATTCTCCACAAATCCTGAATAGTCCTGAGAGTTTAAACCTCACCTAATTATTCTCTATTATTTAAAAACTAGAGGGGTGGAGGATTGAGAGAGGAACAATATAAAATTTGAAACCAATGATGCATTGGCTGAAAAACCCTGACATGAATTGTGAGAGCAAAGAAACCACAGCTGGTTTTGCAGGTGCAGTCCAGGTGGGCCTTGGCAGCTGATGTTGAATTGCATGAATTGTAGCTCTTATATTTTTTGGGCTACAGCTGATATTGTAGGTTCAACTGAAATAGTAAATTAGTAGGAGGCATCATTAAGTTCCAATTAAGATTCACTCCAAAACAGGTAGCTCTTCCATCTGAATGTTTTTTCAAATACAGCTCATGCCCACATGCTTTTAAGATGTGCACTAATACATATCAGTTGTGCACAATTCGTGGAGCCATTAGTAATAAGATTTATAGGAATGCTATAATTCCAAACTCTGAAAATAAAAGAACTGCACATAATTTATGTAGATACTCTGTCAACATAATTTCCTACTTTTTAAATGTCAGCTGCACAGAGTGACTTCATTTCAAAAAGCATTTTCTGAGAAGGAAAAGCATAAAGAGTAACTTTAAAGTCAAAATCCTGACAAAGAATATCTTAGCCAGGTGATTACAATTAACATCAACAGTGATTAGCCCTTTCGATAGTATGTAGCACTGATACGATGTGAAAAGAATGTCACTTCGTCTCTGTGGCTTTCCTCCCCAAAATGCATATCCCCAGTTTTCTCAGGAGAGAAGCATCAAGCAAAGCCCAAGTGAGGGATATACTACCAAATACCTGACCACTACCTTCTGTAAACCGTAAGGTGGGCAAAACCAAGGAAAACGTAGCAGTCACAGCCAAGAAGAGCCTGTGGAGGCATGACTACTCAATGCAACACGATATCATGATGAGATTCTGGAAGAGAAAAAGAATAGTAAATACAATCTAAGGAAATTGCAATAAGTTGTGAACTTTAATAACATATTGTATGGGTTCAATAATTGTGACAAGTATACTATAGTAACATAAGATACTACATAAGGAAACTGTCAAATATATAGGAACTCTTTGCACTATCTTCACAATTTTTCTGTAATTAGAAAACTATTGTAAAAGAAAAATGTATTTTTAAAAAAGCACTGTTACATTATAAATGATACAAAACATGTGCAGCAGATGTGTGTTGGAGCCAGAAATTCTGCATTTCTAATAAGCCTATGGTGCTCTTTATGTTGCTGGTGCTGCTTGCCTGGATCTCATGGAGTGGCAGTCATAGAGTGGCCTCCAGGTCAGGAGAATGGACATCATGTGGAACTTGTTAGAAATACAAGTCATTTCATGTCAGATCTATCGAATTAGAAAGTCTAGGGTTGGGGCCCAGCAGTATGTTTTACAGCAACCCCTCCAGAGGTGCTCATGCATATGAATACATAAGGAAAATTGATCTAAAATCCAGCACTAGCATGTTATTCCCTCCCCCTTTTTTGTTGGAATGGGAGTGGAAGATGAGTGGGAGTGGAAGATAAGTTGGAGGTAAGGGTGTATATTTGAAGAGTTAATTCACTAAATAAATTGTTACACAAAATTTAGCTCTTTATCTTATTTGAGACTTAATTTCATGCTAAAGAAATGGATTTATGCAATTAGTCCATGAATGTCTAGTCACTGCTTATGCAAGTTTGCCATGGCTGTTCAATGACAGAAGGTTGGCTGATTTATATCACTACTTAAAAAGAGCATAAATAATAATTTATCAATCATTTGTATCTCCCCAAAGAACTACAAATTGTATTTTACAAATTAAAAATAAATTATTATTTGATTCCCGATCAGCTCAGGAATTGGATTCCTGATTCTAGCTCAGTCATCTAGAGGTTTAAATGTATCTTTTTTATTGAATTTTTTGTTTAGTTACTGGATACACATAGAAAGGATGTAATTTTTTGTAAATATATGGTATAATAGCTTTTAATTTCATTTTTGTTTTTCTTGTACAACCTATTCTCTATATACTTATGCATTTTGGCTTAATATTATGTTTGATAATTTATTCATGTTGATATATCCACAAATATATTGGAATTTCATAAAAATTTCTTGGACAAAAGAGGGCACAGCTTTCCTATTCTTCAGAGGATTGTTCCTTTCTAATATTTGTAATTACAAATGATGATAAAATAGAAACATTGTACAAATCTACTTTTGTACAAAGGTGATGATGTCTGCAGAGCGTATAACCAGGAGTAGAAATGCTGGACCCAAAGTTATGACAATATTTTACTTTCCTAGATATTGCCCCAAATTTTCTCTTAGTGCATATTTTAATGGATTTCCCACTTACCACTTTTTGAGGTATCCTATTCTTCCACATATTCACAGCATTTGGTTTCATCCAACTATTTATTTAATTTCCACCAATACCATGGAATTGAGGTTACCACATACATTTCCAAAGCATATTAACTGGATATTATGAGGTTGAGTATATTTTCAAACATTTGCTGACTTTTCAACTTCTGATCTATCAATTATTTCATGATATCTATTGTTTTTTTTCTTTTGGCACATATCTTTATATGAAAATTTATATTACAACTGTTAATCTACATGAGTGTGTGTATTGCAAATATATTGTGCAGGCTGTGGCATGTATTTTTAATTTTGTGTTGTCTTTTGAAAAACAGAAGATTTTAATTTTGTTTAGTTAACTTCATTACTTTAACTTTATAGTTTGTATTTCTTTTTTCCTGTTGTAGTAACCCTTTACTTACTCCTTTCTGTGTTTAGGTCGGCAATAAGACTTTTCTTATTTTGTTTTCAATTAGGTTTGTAAGGCAGAAGTAAAGCTATTAAGCTGTGAGTATTATTGCAAGTAAGCAAACACTTGCACATCTTGTGGTTTATCTGCAGGCTCACCTGACTGGTATGGAGCAAAAGCCAAGGGCTTTGGTTCAGTTCTCCACTGCTCATCAGATCTCCCATTACAGCTTCCTGGGCCAGGTGCATGTGCAGATAGATCCAGCTCAAGTGGTATGAACTTCTCCTGCTGATCAGCTGTCATGTCAAGCGTAGAGGCAGTGAGAAAAAGATTTTAATTTGTCTTTATGATTTCTGATCTTACTCTCCTCACTTTGCATACATCTTTCCTTTTTGACTATCAGCCACTGTACAGTGGCTCCAAGTCCACTACCAGAAATGAAGAAAACCACCTTCCATGGACTTCTTCACTAGCACCACTGTGTTGTTCTTGGTTAATTGTGTCTCTTATATTGTAATCGATTCTTTTTAGCTCTTTAGCATCTTAGCTTTTCAAGAAAATGTGAAAGATCTAATCTCTAAAATAAATTCTTATCCATTTCATTCACTTTGATTCTTGTTCCCCAGCCAACCCAAAACACTACGTTTAAGTTTTCAAGTAATGTGGTTTTACACACGTAGATTTTGAATACACAGATTATTAATCAATGTACAATTTATATGTTTGCATGAGATAAGGCACTGATTTGGATTTCTTTTATGTTCTATAGGAAAACAATTGACCCAGCATCACAATTAAATAGGACGTCAAATGATAATACGCATATGTCTTTCTCTATTACTTTTCATTGTTAATTTATATCCCTGGGACTATTCCACATAGTCTTAAACATTTTGTAATTTGTAATGATAATGTATGTTAATATTCAATAGTATATATCATGCCACCTTGCTCTTCAAGATTTTTTTACATTTTGTCATAATACATATATGTGCAATACTTATGACTTACGATACTAAGTCTTCCTACTAATATACGTGTAGTATGTAGCTTAGTTCATTTAGATCTTTGTGTGTTTGTATCTACATGATTTATTCACTTCTGTGTATAAAATACATGTCCTTTTTTATTTTAAATGATATATTTTTCATACTTCCTATTTTTTACTCTTTTTTTTTTTCTCTACCCTAAGGAAATAATTTAGCAAAGGTATATCCTCCATTCAAATTCAAATTTTCCTTAAGTTGGTTATTCAATGTGCTCTATTGGTGAATTGGTTAGAAAGAGAGAAATTCTAATTTAATTCTTACACTAAGTTAAATTTAGTATATAATCATCCTCCATTTATACAGCACACATGCTTGTTATATATCAGTTGACTCTGTTTTCTGGAATCCCAACTGGTACAGAATTCAACCAAGCTAATTTAATGGTAAATGTTTACCCACCTTTAACTACTCAATAATGAAAATGGCATATGGACAACATGATTTCCCTGTTGAGACATAGATGGTAACAAGTCAAGTCTCTTCTAACTATAAAAAAGGATTTTACTAAGAGCTTCCAACCCCAAATAGGTAATTATATAGTGATACAGAGGCAAATTCATTAAGAACTTATCTAACTGTGTGTGTGTGTGTGTGTGTATATATATATGCAACTAATATCAGAACACCTAAAAATATAAACCAAATATTAATAGAAAGGAGAGACAGGGTACAATTTAATAATAGTAGGGGACTTCAATACACAGATACAGATTTTCAGAGAAAAGATAATGAGGAAACATCATATTTAAATTATACTTTAGAACAAATGAACATGATACACAAATGCGGAACATTCGACCGAGAGCAGCAGAATACAAATTCTTCTCAAGCACACACAAAATATTTCTAGGAGAGATCACAGGTAAGACAGTAAATCTGAACAAATTCAAGAAGATTGAAATCATATCAAGTATGTTTTTAAAGCACAGTGTTGCATAACTAGAAATCAATATCAAGAGGAATTTTGGCAAATTCACATATTCATAAAAATTAAACAACACGCAACTGAACAACCAATGTATTAATGAATAAATTAAAAGAAATTTAAAATATCTAAAAAAGTAATTAAAATGGAAATACAACATACCAAAACTTAATGGGATGCAGAAAAAGCAGTTCAAAGAGGGAAGTTCACTGCAATAAACACCTACCTCAACAGAGGTAAAAGATCTTAAATAAACAACTTTTTTAAAATGAACTAAAAAAAGGTCAAAATTGTCAGAAATGAAAAAAAAAAGTAGAAATAATTAAAACAGACACTAGAAAAACAATGGAAAAGATCAATGAAACTAAGAAATGTTTTTTAAAAAAGATAAAGTCAACAATTTTATCTTTAGCTAAACTAAGAATGAAAGAGAGAAGACTCAAAGTCAGGAATGAAAGAGGTGATATTATATTAGATACCACAGAAATACAAAAGATTATGAGACTAATATGAATAATTAAATGCCAACACATTAGGTAATCTAGAGAAAATAGATACATTTCTTGATACATACAACCTACCAAAACTGAATCACAAAGAAATAGAAAATCTGAACAGAAAATATCATAATATCCCAGGACCCAATTACTTCACTGCTGAATTTTACCAAATGCTGAAGAATAACTAATACCGATCATTCTCAATCTCTCCCAAAAAACTGAAAAGGGAATAATTTCAAACATTTTTACATGGCCAGAATTACCCTGATACCAAAGTCAGACATGGACATTACAAGAAATAAAAATACAGGCCAACATCCCTAATAAAAATAGATGAAAAATTCCTCAAGAAAACACTAGCAAACCGAATTTAACAGTGCACCTAAAGGATCATTCACCATAATCACATGGTATTTAAACCAGGGATGCAAAAATATTTTAACATACACAAATCTATAAATGGGTTATATCACATTAACAGAATGAAAGACAACAATCATGATCATCTTAATGGATGCAGAGAAAGGATATGACAAAATTTACCATCATCTCTTGGTAAAAAGGCTTAACATATTATGTATAGAAGAAACATACCTCAACATAACAAAGCTCGTCTTCAAGAAATCCACAGGTAACATGAAACTCCAGGCCGGGCGCGGTGGCTCAAGCCTGTAATCCCAGCACTTTGGGAGGCCGAGACGGGCGGATCATGAGGTCAGGAGATCGAGACCATCCTGGCTAACACGGTGAAACCCCGTCTCTACTAAAAAATACAAAAAACTAGCCGGGCGTGGTGGCGGGCGCCTGTAGTCCCAGCTACTTGGGAGGCTGAGGCAGGAGAATGGCGTGAACCCGGGAGGCGGAGCTTGCAGTGAGCTGAGATCCGGCCATTGCACTCCAGCCTGGGCGGCAGAGCGAGACTCCGTCTCAAAAAAAAAAAAAAAAAAAAAAAAAAAAAAAAACTCCAGTGAAAAGTTGAAAGTGTTTCCTCTAAGACCAGGAATAAGAAAAAGACGCTAACTCTGCCATGTCTATTTAAGATAGTAATGGAAGTCCTAGTCAAAAACAGGAAAGAAAAAGAAATAAAAGGCATTTAAATTGGAAAGGAAAAAGTTAAATTGTCCTTGTTTTCAGGTGACATAATTACATATAAAAAACACTAAATATTCCACCAAAAATTATTAGAACTAATACACGAATTCAGTAAAGTTGCAGGATAAAAATTAACATCCCCAAACCAGTAGTGTTTCTATAAACTAACATTAAACTATCCACCACCCCCCACCAAAAAAATCAAGTAAATAATACCATTTAAAATAGTTACGAAAAAATAAATAATGTACTTAGGAAAAAACAACCAAAAAAGTTAAATACCTATATACTGAAAACTATAAAACATTGGTGAACAAAATTGAAGAAAACTCAGATAAAAGGGAAGTTAACTCACATTCATGGATTGGAAGATCAATATTGTCAAAGTGTGCAAACTGCCCAAAAAGATCTACAAATTCAGTGCAAACCACATCAACATTCCAGTATCATTTTTCACAGAAATTGAATAAATATCCCCAAATTCATTTGGAACCATGAAGGATTCTCAATAGAAATCTTCAGTGAAATAAGCAAAGCAGGAACATCACACTACCTGACTTCAAAATGTGCTAAAAAGCTAAGGAAACCAAAAGAGCCATGGTCATAGTATAAAAATAGACACATAAACCAATGGAACAGAATAGAGACTCCAATTCATAAATTTGTAATCAACTGATTTACAATACATTGATGAGAACACACAATGGAAAAAGAACAGCATCTTCAATAAATGTTGTTGCTACAACTGGATATTCACACGTGAAAGAATACAATTAGATATTCTTTTCACATCACATACAAAAATCTACTCAAAATGTCTTAAAGGCTTAAACATAGGACCTAAAACTACTAGAAGAAAACAAAAAGGAAAATCTCCATGTAATTGATCTGAGCAATGATATTTTTGAACAGGAAACCAAAATCACAAACAACAAAAGCAAAGATAGACAAATGATATTACATCAAACTAAAAAGCTTCTGCACAACCAACATAACAGTCAAAAGAGTGAAAATGCACAGAATGAGAGAAAATATTTGTAAATCATACATTTTATAAGGGGTTAGTATTTAAAATATGTAAGAAACCCAATAGTAAGAAAACAACCTGATTTTTAAAATGGGCAAAAGTTGTGACTAGACATTTCTCAAAGGAAGACATATTAATCACCCACAGATATATGAAGAAAGTCTCAACATTTTTAGTCATCAGGTAAATGCAAATTAAATCCCCAATAAGAAATAACATCAGAACTGTTAAAATGGAAATTACATAAAAAAGATAACAAATGTCAGTGAGGATGTGAAGAAAAACCCTTGAACAATGTTGGTGGGACTGTAAATTAGTACATCCCTTTTAGAAAATACTATAGAGGTCACTATAAAACTAGAAATATTACTATCACATGATCCAGCAGTTCCACTACTAGCTATATATCTAAGGGAAATAAAATTAGTATCTTGAAGATATCTTCACTCTCATGTTCACTGCACCATCATTTTTAACAGCAAAGATATAGAATCAACTTAAGTGTCTATCAATGGATGAATAAAGAAATCATGGTATACATACATAATGGAATACTGATAAGTTATAAAAATAAATAAAATCCTGTTATTTGTAACAACTTGGATAAACCTGGAGGACATTATATTAAGTGAAATAAACCAGGCACAGGATGATAAATGCAAATGCCCAAGTATATGAGAAATTTTAAAAGTTAAATTTAGAAGTAGAAAGAATGATGTTTACCGGGGGCTGTTGGTGGGAGCATGGAGTGGCACAGGAATCGGGGAAATGTTGGTCAAAGGACACAGAATTTCAATTAGATAGAAAGGAGAAAATATGTTGCTTTCTCAAATGTTTCCTGCAGACTTAGATATTGACTTAGGGTTAAACTTAGTGCAAGAAACAGTGAAGTTCAACATAAGTTTTCACGTAACAGTAGTGTATTTCTTGTTCATGTAAATGAAGGAAGGTGGAAGAACAAGGTTAGGATTATAGCTCCCCAATGCTCAGGAACAAAGGTTCTTTCCAGTTTATCATCCTGACATCCCCATGTGTGAGATTCCTTATCATAATCTATTGGATGGCTACTGGTGACTGTAACATTTAATCTGCATACCAGAAAATGAAGTAGAAAAAAAGAAAATGAGCCATGGGACATGCGTAATGACTGTTTTTAATGAGCACTTTCTTACATCTCATTGACTAAAATGTGGCCGCATGGCCATATCTCCACTGAAAGGGAGTCCTGGAAATCTTGTTGTTATAACAGAAAATCATGTGAAGTCTCTGCTACAGTTTACCAACCACATGATTACATGGTTTTTCAAAACAATAGATTGAGGGAGATTGGCAAAAACCACTTGTACCATGTGAACACTCTTTCCCTGAGCCATAAGGGTAAAACATTCTACCTTCTCAAGGAATTTCTGAGGGACAAAAGAATGTACTTCTTTTATAATTTTGTTTTCATTCCTATTCATTTCTTTTTATGAAATTATCTAATCCAATTGATACATGTGATATATTTGGGATCATTTTTATTAATGTGTATAGAATCTCATTATTAAAGCACAAAACAGACTCTGTTCCTCATTCCTCATGAAGTAGTGAGAGGAAGAGTGGCATTTTCTCCACTTTTTCTTCCCAAATGAGAAGCACATGAGGAAAGATCTCCTACTTCCTCATGTGCAAAAGTCAGACACAATCCAAAAGAAAGGAAGAGTAAGTGGTAGGCAAAATTTCCAAAGCTAACTTAAGTCATAAAGCAAAATCAGACCATTTCCATCAGTGTAATTTTGGATTAATTTCAGTTATTATTGCTTATATACATTTCTGAATAAACAGGAATTTTGAAAGACATATGCAATCTCTTAATATAATTCAAACAAAATTCATACACCATTTAATTTCAAATTAAATATGTGGAGTATTATATTAAAAAGACACATAAGCCATTAAGAAAAAAGTCAGAAATATGAGAAAACATATTTATGCTAATTTGATGCTGTTAAATTCCATAATAGTCATAGCAAGAACCACTAAAAATTTTATGACCCTTTTCTAAACTAAATATTATACCTTAAAAAGACTGTTTCATAAAAATTTGTTTTTTATGCATAATTCCAAGCTCATATTTCAAACAACATCCTTACTCATGAATATGGGCAATATGGTGTAGCTTCTTGTTGACCGTCCCTGCAGTAATTCACAAGCTTCAGCTTCCACAGTGCAGCTGTGAAGTCAGTAGGGAGTCATTCAGTTATTTGTGATTTTACCCATCTGTCAGCTAAAACCAAGCACCAAATGCAAAATTGTACACATGGGGATATTATGGGGATTTGTGTCTTGCCCTAGAGGATATTGGATCTGTATACCTACAAAAGATCCATAAATGATTCTTTGCATAAGAGATATCCATTCCTTTTCCACTCATGCTTATGCTATACTAGGTCTAAGAATTTTCAAAACAGAAGGAGTTCCTGTAATCATGAAAACACTGAAAATGGATCCTACAGATTACTTTGGCATCTTCTTTAGAAAATGTGAGATTTCTGAGCACAGCATGACATTAGAATAAATACCACTTCTTAATTGAAAATATTTTACAGTACCAGAGGAAATAAAATTAGACTGGAAATTATTCAGATCCATATGAATTTAAGTGGAAGACTTCAAAATAAATAAGCATCTTAGAGGTCTGCAAGTATGTGAACAACAAAAACATACCTCACCGATTGTATAGAATTACTTGTCAGGGTGTTTCTTGCAGTGTATTTCCATTTCAGAGAGAAGAGTTATGTTAACTGCAATAATTACCACTTAAAAGCTTTCAGTCACATATACTGTGAAATTGTTTTGTGTATAATTAAGAAAAATATATGGATCATTTATTCTATACATGATACTGTTTCAACACTTTCAGTTTACAGTCAGCTAGAAATTTAAAGGATGCCTGGCTTCCAATACTAAAATGTATATTTTAAAACAGTTTTGAGGTATTGATTCTTCTTACTTTTTTGAAATGCTTTTAACTATTTTCCTAGCATCATATAGTGTAAAGGATCATAGGCCAGAAAAACTTAATTAGCCTGATAGCTTTCCACTTATGAAATTTGTGCTTAGATTAGTAATTTACAACTCAAGAATCAATTTCTTCATCTGAATTTCAAAAGTAATGACAAGAGCTCTTAGAACTCAAGTAAATGGTAAATAAGGAAACATATCCGTATATGTTTACCCTATTGATAATAAAACAGCAGTTCCCCTACTCTAGTTAATATTAGCACAATTAGTGTTAATATATTCAGATCTTTTCCATAATCAGATCATATGTCATACTGAGGTATAAAATCAATTACCCTTCACTCCAATCTAAAATACAAATATGCATAAGACTGAATTTTTGTGTCCTCACAAAATTCGTATGTTGAAATCTAACTCCTACAATATGCAGGTATTTACATGTGAGGTCTTTGGAAGGTGATTATATCATGAGGATAGAACTCTCATAAATGGGTTAAATTATCTTAGAGACTCCAGAGAGCTCCCTTGTCCCTTCTTCCATATGAAGAACATATTGAGAAAAGATTCTATGAACTAGGAAGCGAACCCTCACCAGATATAAAATTTGCCAGAGCCTTGATGCTGGAATTCCCAGCCTCCACAACTGCGAGAAATAAATGTTTGTTCCTTATATACCACCTACCCTGTGGGCATTCTCCTACCACTACTCAAATGAACTATGATACCATCAATAACAATGCAAGAATTCTACATATGTATTTTTTAATCTTACTAAAGGAAACGCCAAGTTTAAAAAGAAATAATTTAAAGATGGTACTCTGAAACAACAACACTTCTATTAATAAACAATTATCTTTTTTGGTTATCTATTAAATTTTTTAGGAACATCTTCACTCCAATCCAACCCATTGTTTTTGTAGACAAGATTGAATT